AATGCAGAATAATCGGAAAATAAAAGAGGTTAAAATGAAATAAATACAAGGTTCCTGACCACATAGAGCTGAGGTTAAAAATGTGAGTTCAGTGAATTTACAGGCATTGCATGTTGGGGATGTATGAGCAGGTTTTTGTCCATAACGTTAAATGATATTATTTTTATGATTACATTTTATTTCACCAGGTAATATCTCATTGAGATGCCAGATCTCATTTGCAAGAGAGACCTGGTGAAGACAACAGCACTAACATAGTTGCCAAACACAAACCAATTTCACACAGTCACATAAGTCACTTGAGTGTCTACTTAAAAAGGCATCAGTAAAATAAAAAGGTTCCAATTTCTCTATAAGTTAGATCAGAGCATCACAGACTGATAAGGTTTAACTGTGGACCTGAGGTTTGTTTGTCCTTAAGTCTGGGTTTATCTCACAGGTCCAGTTTGCTCTGGCCGTGTTGGATGGCTCGGTCTCTTTACCATCTCGGGCTGAGATGGAACACGAGGTCCAGCGAGAGCTGCAGGAAAAGATGGCACGTGGGGTCCAGCAGCACCACCTGATGGTATTAAACCAGGCTCAGTGGGAGTACTGTGAGACACTCGCTCACACCGCTGGCTTCCTGCCACTGCCTCCAGTCATGAAAAGCCTGTACGAGGAGGTTGTGCGACAGAGACGGATTCACCCTGAAAACTACCGGAGGCTCAACTACAGGCTGAGCAGTGACACCCAGTGGGAGGAGATTGAACGTCTGATGGAGGAAGACTGATGACAGCTTAAACAGCAGGTCTACAAAATCATGAACTCACTATATGATACAACATAATCGCTCAATGTGTTCAGCATTAAAAGATGAAATAGCCACATTCATGTCCTGTGTTACAACCACACAGGACTGTCTAGGTGTCATTCCATGTACCAGAGGCAGTGAAATAGGACCCAGCTGGAGAAACAGATTGTTTAAAGCCTATTAGACTCCAGCACACAGCACAGAGGTTTGTAACACAGACTGGACTGTACAGCTCTGGGAAGTTATCGCAACAGCAGCTGTTTGATCTTTGGTTGTGAGGATCACAAAGTTAATAGTAGAACACACTTGGAGCTGCAGAAGTTCAACCAATCACCTGTATTTTCACATAGCACCGCATTGTTTGCTGATTCGTGCTACATCAGCACACTTTCCCCTTCAAAATGAGTGAGAAGGCCTGTGCTTTTTTATGCAGAGTCAGTCTGTACGAGACTGCAAAGCCGGTTTAGGGCAGAGATGCACCAAGCCGATGTGAAAGAACCAGCAGCGATAAAGGCTGACTGTTACGTCACCTTACGTCGCCTTTGCTTAGGTCAGTCGGTTTGCATGACAGATATAACTCCTCCTACCAGCAGGTGGCGGTGTCTGTATTTACCATTCAGAAAGGGAAGGAAGAAGAGCCAGATGCAGTAAACAAAGCAGCTGCCATTCACCACAGCTGATGTTTACAGCTGCTTCTAATCAAGAACATGTCTGATAAGAAATTGCAAATGAAGGGCCTTTCCAGAACTGTTCCCTTCTCACGCACTGATTCGCTAAGTTCAACAGCCAATCAGAGTGGTCTCTTTTACCGACAAGGTCCAAGCTGAGTCATCTGAAAAGCAGCCGACAGGGTCCGACTTATGCCAACAGTGTGGGACGCACCGGAAAGACAGATGCTCACCAACGGCCAACCATCGGTTTGATGTGTCACGGGCCTTAGAAAGAGAAGGTGAAGGTTGAAACGAGTTCATCTGTGTTTTTTTTTTTTTTT